CTCTGGGGCTTTCCCCAGAGTAACTCGGGATTCCGCTGATTTCGGGTACGCCGTCCCTCTTCTGTGTGGCCTTGCTGGAGACGGGAACTCTTTTCTTCACGGTTGCGCTAAGGGGGGAAAAAAGCACAGCCTACGTTCTGGGGGCCCCCTCTGCCGTCCCCCACGTCGGGAAAGCCTCAAGTAAGGGGTGGGCTCGCTCACGAAGGTGGATGCCCCCTCCTGCCCGTGCGCTGTGGCATTTCAGAATTTATTTTGGCCCCAGTTTGTCTGCTGTACCAGGACCGGCAGGTCCTCGTTGACTCTTAAAGCCAACTGGTTTTTTCTTTTCCTCCCTGCCGCAGGGTTTTATTGCCTTTATCAGCGAAGGTTCGGTCCCGACTGTTCCTTACTCTCTGAGCTCTCCTCCCCAAAAGCTCCCCATCCCCTTTTGTTTTTAAAAGAATCTCAGCTCCTCCTTTTTCTTTTCTATTTTTTTTCTTTCTGCTCTTAAAGGGCCAGTCTGCCTTAGACTTACAAGGCTCTGGAAGGATGCTTAGTTGGATGCTGGTTATCCAACCAGTGCGCTTGCAGACAAAGGCGCTTAGGCCCAGAGAGCGGACACGACCTACCAAAGGTCACTGAGCAAGTCACCAGTGAAACCAGATATTGAACCTAGTGTATTTATATAGCTCTACTTAAAAAATAGTAATAATGATCATGAAAAAAAACAACAACAACAACAAACACCACACGGACAGGAGCTCTCTCTGATCCTGTCTTTTGTTTGACTCTGGAATTCTGTACTGAGAGAATGACCAGAACTTGCCTGTGTAGTCTTTGTGGGCAGGAGAACATTTTCTAAATAAAAAATGATGAGCCAGCTCTGCAGGGAGGGTAAGGTAGCGCTCTGGATGTTGTTTCCACACATTGTAGGAACACTAGGAGGTTGGTGGGACCCAGAAGTGCCCACTTTTCCGATGGCTGGGCAGTAACCAAGTCCCTGCCAGCCCAGATGAGATAAAAGCCTAGAAAGACTTAATGGGTTTGCTGGTGGTGAGTGCTCCTCTGTTTACACTGACTACTATGTTCAGTAGTCCCTCTGGTGGCTCTCCTACTTTGCCTTTTCAGGGCCATTGGGCCCCCTCAATTCTGGGGAGGCCTGCATCTGAGAAACTCCTTTCCTGGAAGTGTTGACAGCTTTGTCTTAGGTGTCCGTCCCTCCAGTGGGAGAGCTGACATTTCCCACCTATCCCTAAACTGGTATTTACAGGAGGGCATATTTGAGGTATTGGGCAAAGGGACCTTTGGGTGGGGCCCTTCTGGTGGGGCCTCAGGTGTGTGGGTCTTTGCACAGATCTGGGTGCAGACAGATGCCTTTGTTTCACCCTCCCACTGCTTTCTCCACTCTGGCTGTAACTGGCCAGTCTGCTGACCTCCTAGCTTTAATCCTCCCTGTACTGTGTAGAGTGGCACCCTCCCTGGCCTTCAGTGAGGAGCTTGCACCCTACACACATCCTTTTGTTCTCATCCTCTCACTGGGTCCCTGCTCTTTGTGAGGGGTGTTTTGACTCCCTCATCACCGCTTCCCTTTCATTGCTCTTGCCACCCCTTGCTTGCCCTAAACTCCCCTCCCCCACCTCCCTTTCTCATGCTTCCAAATCAAAGCCTTGGGTTCTTTCCCTGAAAATTGGAGATTGAGAATGTGTCTCCCTTTTCCCTTCTTCAGGACAAGCTCTTCAGCTGGAAGGGGGTGCCTTGGGGTCCTGGGGGAGTACCCCCCTACCCTCCTCCAGGGCCAGGGGACCAGCATCTTCAGGCAGGAAATACTCAGATCATTGTGAGGCTCGGGCCTCGAGGCCCGGAAAGAGCCGCATCCCTGGCAGGGACCATCGGCGCTACTACCACGACCACTGGAGACTGGAGTACCTGATGGATTTCATCCCCTCCCGGCACGGCATGGTGTGTATGGTTTGTGGCAGCTCCCTGGCCACCCTCAAGCTCAGCACCATCAAGAGGCACATCCGCCAGAAGCACCCCTACTCCCTACATTGGAGTACCCGGGAAAAGGAAGTCATCAGCAACAGCTGGGATGCCCACCTGGGGCTGGGGGCCTGTGGTGAGGCTGAGAGCCTAGGGGCCCAGGGGGCTGAGGAGGAGGAAGAAGATGAAGAGGAGGAGGAGGGGGCCAACCTTCAAGCTTGCCCACCCAAGGGCCCAGGTAATACAGAATATGGAGAGGCAGGGGATTGTGTGTAATAGGGCTGGGGGGTGGGGGTGGGCAGCTTTTCTGCTCTATTCATTCATTCATTCATTCTCTGCTGTATGCATTTATTTATTTATTTATTTATTTATTTATTTATTTATTTATTTATT